ATCAGGAACTCGATTAAAATTAAAAAAATGATCTTTATTGTTCGGGCGACACCGCCGCCTACAAACTCTATCGGAACAAAGTGTTGATGCTCACGCGAATTAGCAAAAAGATGTATTTTCACAAACATCAACAGCCTTTTAGGCCGGAAAAACAAAGTTGACAAAGATCTAATCTCTCTTAAATGCCCCAGTAGCAATCTAGTGTCACAAAATCCCGCTGAGTTTCCTGACATAATGAATAAATACTTTTCTTCAATAGGGCATAACCTGGCTTCCAAAATGACAAACTCACCAAAGCTACTGATTATCTACCAAAGTTAGGCTTTGCTAGTTCATTCTTTTTTAACCCCGTATCTCCTTCTGAAATTGATTCTGAAATAATGACTATTCAACTAAACAAGGCACACGGGCTATATTCATTTCCCACTCGCATTCTAAGATCGGCTAAACACATTATAAGCCAACCTCTATCTATGATCATCAATAAATCAATTGAATATGGAACCTATCCATCTAAATTAAAGCTTGCCAAAGTAATTCCAATTTACAAAAGTGGCGATGAATCTGACCCCTCCAATTATAGACCCATATCGCTTCTCTCCATTTTTAACCGTATCTTTGAAAAGATGATGTATAATCGCCTCAAGTCATTTATTGAAAAGTGCAATATTCTCCATGATTCACAACATGGTTTTCGTGAAAAAAGGTCTACTGAGCATGCTATTTTAGACATAATTAATGAAATTGAAACTAACATGGATAAGAAGTTGTACTCATGCGGTGTGTTCATTGACTTACAAAAAGCCTTTGAAACAGCAAATCATTCAATATTATTAAGAAAATTAAATCATTATGGAGTACGTGGAATAATTAATGATTGGTTTGCGTCATACCTAGTGGGTCGTCAACAAACAACACAAATTGGTCCCAAAAACATATCCAAAAAAGAAGTAGTGTTATCAGGTGTCCCACAGGGATCGGTCCTAGGACCCTTACTATTCCTTATTTATATTAATGATATATCTAACAGCTCTGATAAGTTGAAGTTCTACTTATTTGCTGATGATACTAATTTGCTATATGCTGACAAAAATTTCAAATCGCTTGAATCTACAGTTAATGCAGAAATTTTTAGGGTTTATAATTGGCTAATCGCAAATAAATTATCACTAAATATAAAGAAATCTAACTTTGTCATTTTTAGACCAAGACAAAAAACGTCAAATCACCAAGTCAACTTGAAAGTGTTTGACCATCATAACAACTCGTTCATTTCTTTAGAATGCAAAAATTATGTCAAATATCGAGGTGTGCTTATTGATGAAAATCTTTCCTGGAAATACCATATCGCTCACATCGCTTCAAAAATAAGTAAAACAATTGGCATCATTGCCAGCCTTAGACACTTTGTACCCCTGAATACTTTACACCACATATACATATCTCTTATTCAGCCCTATGGCATAGTCGCTTAGGGCCAAGCTGCTAAAACTTACAAAAACAAAATTCTCATTCTTCAAAAACGCGCCCTCCGCCTCATGTTCTTTGGTGACTACAATTCTCATGCAGTACCTTATTTTGTCTCCTCTAGCTTTCTTCCCTTAGATCTACTGTACTTTAAATCCGTTGCTGTTCTAATGCATGATATATCTAACAGCTTAACACCTACTAACATATCTAACTTATTTGCTTCCCAATCTAATATTCATTCATATAATACAAGATCATCTTCAGGAGGTGACTATTATGTTAAACACTCAAGGTTAGACAAGCAAACTAAGTCTTTTTCGAGATATGGTGTAAAAATCTGGAATAGTTTACCGTGTGAAATACGTCAAATGTCCAAAAATAACTTTAAAATCAATGTCCACGACACTTTACTCCGAATACTTTCAGAAGAAAATGATTATATTGATTTTATTTTACTCGACTTAATAACAAAAATTTCCTGAAAACTCCGCTTCTTATATTTGCAATGTCCATGATTGTAAACTTCATTAAATTGAATTTATCTTTATTTATTTGTCTATTTATTTAAAGGGACTGGTTCACGATAATGTGCATGCGCGCCGTTTGTCTCTTCAGAATAAATTTGTTGGGTCAACACTAAATTCGAAATCGCCATTACCGGTACAATCATTGAAAATCCTTCGTTTTATTCGGACATCCGTCGCTTTGGCTGGTCTAGTTACACTTCGGTAGTGGTGATTAACGTGTGGTTGTGTCGTTTGACTGGTTACGTTTTAAGAAGACGCAAAAAATAATGTTTTGATCATGGAGGCTGAGAAGAGCATCGTGGCCGTCCGGCAACGGGACGTTCTCAAGAGTCTCTGGAGATAGAGAAGCTTAGCCTATCGATCTGGTATGGTTCTAGGAGTAGTGTGTGGCATACGAAAAGAATACACGACACTGGGAAAGTGGTTAAAGGCATGAGTTCGTTCAACTTTGATTTGATTTTTGACTCCCACCTGTAGTTATACCGCAACAGGCCGCGCGATCTTCACCGATCTGGTACACTTGAAATGTTCCTTGTATCTTTGCTTTACGATCGTATATGTTTAAGAATTGATGTTTTTAAAATAAATTATTGCCTAAATATTCTGTTCATAATCTAGTTTCCTTATGTGTGCTACTCGATAACATTTGTTTTGCGGAACACTGACCCGATGCAACGCGAATGAATTTGTTCATTTGCTGATAAGCAATTGAAATTTATGCTCAATTAAGGATAATCTTTATACTCATACGTTGTGTGTTTTTGTCACCGGTCCGGCGCTATTTGTAGGTATTTCTGGGTTTATATAAGGCGAACCGAGAGAACAGTAATAAGATGTTTGTTTACAAATTTTGTTTGCCGATCGGTGACTGTTTTGTTAGCGTGGGTACGACCTCGTAAAAATACACGTTGGTAAATGTTTGTTTCAAAGCAGGACAGGGCTGTAAATCTTATTCTTATCGGCTGCAACATATATCTGAGGAGTAGCAAAGAATAAAATTGAATTATGGGGATAAATAAAATCAAACCAAATGCCCGGAAATACTCTCGCGTCGCGAACAATTAATTTGAATTTTGTAAATTTACTTGCGTGCATCTAACTCGCTTCCGATTGATTGAAAAACAATCAGCTACTGTCAGAACTCACACATGCGCATTATCGTGAACCAGTCCCTTTAACTACTCTTTTTCTCTAGTCTTTCTTGTGATCTATCTGTATATGTATTACATACGTGTAACCACTGTTCGCCTCCACTAGCTAACCTGCTAACTGCGGGCAGTGGATATTGTTTTCTGTATTGCTTTCTTTGTGATAATTATAAACAATTAAAACAGTTAAATTGATCTTTTCTAGAATGTCTGTGAGAACAACCCTTATAAGTCTGTGTTAAGAAATACGGAATAAAATGTTGTACTGGACCACGTTCCAAAAACAGAATATTATAAAGGAGGCTTTCTCATACAGAGGAGGAATGCTGTGGAATTCATTACAAAACGACATAAAAGCGTCCTAATCTAAAGCTATCTTTAAAAGAAAACTGGCTAGTAGGCAGGCAAACTGTTGACTATATTTTACTATATTTTATTATTTGTACATATTTTTAGTGTAGTTGTACAGTATTTACTTCTGTTTCTATACGGCTTTCATGTAAAGAAGTTAATATGTAACTTACGAAATTACCGTATTCAAATAAAAGTGAATCAATCAATCAATATCGATCGATCGATCTATCTATCTATCTATCTATCTATCTATCTATCTATCTATCTATCTATCTATCTATCTATCTATCTATCTATCTATCTATCTATCTATCTATCTATCTATCTATCTATCTATCTATCTATCTATCTATCTATCTATACCCAATTCGATTTCCGCTTTCTTCTAGCTCGGTGTCTCACGCTTTTAATCAGCGTTTACCATTGTATGGAAAACCAGGATATTCCGACGAGAATTCAAATTGAACGGTTCATCCCGGTGGAAATTTTCCGGAAAAAAGTAATACCTTTCGAAATATTATCGTTTTCCTGTTTTTACCGAAACGACCGAAATTTTCTGTACCATTTGTTTGGATTACCGTTGCCATGCTTCATGTCGAGAGAAAGCGAAAAATTTACCGATAGTAAATGGTACAACTCAATCCCGTTCCTTTTTTCGATGCCAAAAAAAAAATCACCAGTTCTATTCGACGGAAATTTTTCACCGAAATTTGCGTACAAATGTAAGCGCTCAATATTTCCTTGATCCACCTTGTTTTAATAAGTGGCTTTTCTGCACGTTTTTGCTTTCAATCTTTATCAACCAATCATATTTTTAACATGCCAATATATACCAATCACATTTAAAAATATAACTGGTTGGCAGGTAAATAATACTAAGATATCACTTACCTGCATCATTTTAAATCATGCGACCGTTTGATTCCACTTTTAGTTATTTTTTGCAGCTGCTGGTGCATGTACGCTTTTGCCAACCGAAATACTGAGTAATGCAAACACCTTTTTTTAGTTATCCCAAATAAACTTCAAAGTTTCTTTCGATTCAATTCGGCTTTTCTTGGCGGGTGTCGGTTAAACTGGTTCCTGCATTATTTAAGAATTACCCCAATTTAATTAACCTCTTTTACTCCCTATAGCGTTCAAAATCAAAACAAAAAATCTAATGTTTCTGAAGTATCTATAGAAATAATCAATGCAAAGTGGATACACTTAGGAGCGCTGTTATTTGACAGATGACCAGCTTTGGTCACTCAACTCAAAAGCCCACGAAGCTTAAAGTCACTCAGCTCAAAAGCCTACGAAAAACCGTCTAATGTATATGTATCGAATGGACAAATTTGTAAAGAAAGGAAAATTCTAAGTTGGGAGCCAAAGAAAAGGGGAATAGAAGGTTAAACAATGGGTTTTTATTTCGGTGAAATATTAAATATTATATCATGAATAATTCCATGAAGGGAAACAAGGGAAATCTTTCTCGTTTATTAGGTTTTAGAGCCTGAAA